GATCTTATTTAGTGAAGAGGGAAAACATCAGCACAGATCAGAAGAGCTCTGTGTCACTCCATCGCTCCCTCTTACTCCATCTCTCGCTTGCTCTCTCGCTTCTTTTTTCCTCTCTCCCTCTTCTCTTCCTCACTCTCCCAGCAGAGATGTCTGTGACATGGATCGTTAAAATATACAGGAATCCAACAATGTCTTTAGATATTGAGGCCACTCTCAGGTTAGGTGTGTGTTCTGTTGTCTGTTTGGTTCCCTGCTCTAACCCCAGTGGCTATACCATTGCTTGGCACTGAAAACGTACTTGATAAATATTTGTTGCAAAAGTTCATTGATTCATAAATTAAAGTCCATATAAAAGGAGTTACAGGACTGGTGGGTTTCTCTTTGGATAAGAAGGAGCTTTCTAACAATTAGAGACATTTAAAGATGGAAAGTAGCCTGGAATCATGGAAATATATCTGGACTTGGAGTGAAAAAAATTAGCCACTTGCTAATTTTAACCTTGGAGTCCTGGTGTGGTGCTGCAGTATAGACACTGGGGTTAGAACTAGGTTGATTTGACTCACAGGTTTGGTGGCTCAAACTCACCAGCCACTCTTCGGAAACCCTATACGGGCTCACTATGAGTCAGAGCCAACTCAACAGCACTTAACAACAACAAAAACAATTTTATCCTTGGACAAGTTAGTGAGCTCTCTGAGCTGTAGCCTTCATGTGTATTAATTAAAGATATTCTTTGCTCTTCCTAATTCACAGGTTTGCTTTGAGGGTGAGATGAAATCATCTAAGTCAGACCATAATATATTATGCTATTGTTGTTGTTAAGTGTCATCTAGTTTGTTCCAACTCATAGTGACCCTCTATAGGGCTTCTGAGAAGCGACTGGTGAATACGAACCACTGACCTTGTGGTCCAAACTGACCTTGAGGTCTAGTGCATTATCCCACAGCGCCACTGGGAGTATATGTTTTTGTTATCAGTGTGAAATAATGAACCACAGGCCAGTTGTTGTGGGACACTTACTTTGAGTATCTTGTAGTAGAGATTCTTGTCTTAAGCGGGAGTTTGAACTAAACACCTCAGGTCCCTTCTATTTCATATACACTATGAAAATGACACATTAATCCATTACTGAACCATTTCTATAAATTATATTTTAAAGTTCCAATTCATAATGCCTGAATTAAAATACCAAAGCATTGGTAAAATAGTTTTTAGACCAAAACACAATACCAAGATGCTTGTATTGTTCAATGGGGAACAAAGATCTCAAATTAATAGACTCTCTATATAATTAATTCTCTAAGCAGAAGGATAATCCAAATATCTCATTCCTCCCAGAATTTACAAACTCTTTCTGTATTACAGCTCTGCAGCCATTTCACCAAGCTGCAAAGATAAAAGGCGGGGGGGCATGGGGTGGGGATGTGGGGGGGCCTTAAACTAAAATGTCAGTGATGGCGGTTTTAAGCAATTTCAAATTACTAGGAAGGTCCTAGACACTTATTGACTCCCTAGTGATTTGAAAATCTTGCTGACTGCTGGCTGCGGTATGCATGGAGACTGAATTTTATCTCAGCTCTTCCAAAAAAGTAAAGAAGCTACAAATCTAATAGCTGTTCAGAACAACAAAAGCGTTGAGGTGCCTTTGGCTTCTAACAGGAGTGTCTCTGAATTCCTCAAGGAATTCCAGGCTTGGCTTGATCCAGCTGGCAGGAGGTATCGATCTCCACTTGAATTCACTGAATAAACAATGGTTGCCATAGTTATTTAGCAGTCTGAACTGGTTGGAGAGCAGGGAGAACTCCGAGCACCTTCTGTGAGTTTGGCCATGAGAAAGTCTGGTTACAAGGTTCTGTAATCAACCCCCTCCCGAAATCCAGCCAACACATTGCTTAGTTTCTTTACCCTGATAATGAATATGAAATCTTGAGTATTATGTCAGCCTGGAGGCTCTAAAAAGAAGGGAAGGCTGGAATCAATGGATTGGTCTCTTGTTCTGGGAAAAGCAGCTCTCCCTAGGTTGTGAACCTAATTTGATATTTCTCAGTATTAATAGAATTTAGTGTTAACAAGAAGCTTGTTTGATCCTGTTATAGCTACATTGTACCTTTTATCATAAAAAAACACTAGAGGGCTTCACAAAAGACCAAACCTCGGCTTGTTCTATTCTAACATTGTTTATTGTACAAACAGCATGAACTGGATTATTTTAAAAGAAAGGAACAAAAGCTATACAGCATCCCCCAAATATTTTCATTTTCCTGTTTCCTTTCATCCGTATCTATATGCAGAACTCATTTTGACTTAGATGTAATCACAGTTTAGATTCAGTGTAATAGTCTACTATTTAATGTTTTAAATATTTTCCCATATTGCTTCATAGTCTTCACATTTGTCCTTTCTGATGACTGCAGGATCCTTCAGTATAGAGACATATCATTATTTATTTAACATTACCACCATTCTTCAATCTTTCATTTGTTTCCAAGCGTGTTTGTTTTGGTGGGGTTGTTTTGGCTGGGGATTATTTTTTGTGATAAGGCTGCACCAAATATATTCGTGCATACAGTTTTATTCGTCAGTTGAATTTTTCCTTTGGTAAATTTCCAAGAGTGGGATTACTTGCTCGGAGGTTATGAACATTTTCTAGCTCTTAAAATGTACTGCCAATTTTGCAGTCTGCTTTTCTGTTTTGGAAAAAAAAAAAAATCTTTAGGCAGAACACCACTGCAGGTGGGATTTCTCTTGAAGTGCACCGTCTGGGACTATATACTTAGTAAAGATAAGCCAGTGAGCAGGGAGTGTACCTGGGATGATTAGCTGTTTTCTGGAGAAAGCAAGTCCATGGACTGCAAAACTTGGAAATTTGGAGGTTTTATTTCCTTTTGTTTGGTCCTGGGGTTGCCAACCACTAGCCATGTGTCAGACATTGTCTTGGGGCAGACTGTACCATGTGTGTGGCATTCGACAGTTGGCAAAACATTTTTACATGACATCGTCTTTAGTTGAGCCTCACTGCAACCCATGGAGGTAGGTTTTGTTATAATCCTCACTTTGTGTTATAATTTTTTGTGTAACATTTATGATACACAGAGAGGGATGAAGAAGGATTCATCAAATACCTGTTTATCTACTCCCCTGTGAACCCCATTTTCCTGGGAGGACATTGAGCCTTAGAGAGTTTAGACCACATGGTTAGTAAGTGACAGACTGAGAACTGAAACATGGGTCTGTCTGACTCCCCGGTTTGTAGCCTTAATTTCTGTATGATGTTACATTGAGATGAGACACCTTCAGTTACAGTGCACTGAGGTGATGCTGGCCATTGTCAGGATCACACCTGGATAATAATGCAGCAGAGCTGGAAGGGACGTTAAAACACAAAACCTGTTGTCAAGGTGACTCCAACTCATGGGGACCCCATGTGTTGTCGGATTAGGACTGTACTCCATGCGATTTTCAAGGGTAGTAAGCTTTATAGAAATACATCATCAGGACTTTCTTCTGCTGTGCCTCTGGATGGGTTTGAGCTGCCAACCTTTACATTAGAAGCTGATCACAAACTGCTTATTGTTAGTGGTGGTGTTAAGTGCCGTCAAGTCGGTTTTCGACCCAAGGAGACCCTCTATAGGGTTTCTAAGGAGCAGCTGGTGAGTCTGAACCTCTGACCTTGTGGTTCAAACTGACCTTAGTACCACATTAAATCCAACCTCTTCCCACTACAGATAATCCTGGCAGGGGAAGAACTTACTTAAATCATATGTAAATAGCTGGGGGAAGAATGCAGACTTCCTGGTTCCCATATCACTTTTATTTGGACCAGAGAAGAGAAACCAGTCTGGGTAATTGCTTCATTTTTCTGATTGGCTTTTGCTGTAAGGAAAAATATTTCTTATAAAAATATTGCCTGCTATAAGATAAATGTAGGGAAAATTTGTAATTGACACTTGGTTCCCCATTGGAAAGCTGTGTTACATCACTTAAGAATTACTATTTTGCATGTAGTTATACTGGGAGATGACAACTTAGACTAATTTAAAAGGAACCAAGTCCTTCACTTAGAAACAAGGCTCTACTACCTAACTGCTGAGGGAGGGCAGAGCGATGTGCTCTGGATGTCCAGGAATCTTTCTCATCACTCTGGGCCATGAGGACACACTAAAGTCCTAGGTTCAAATCCCAGTGCTTAACAGCTATGTGACTCTGGGAAAACCACTTAATTTTATGCATGAAATGAAAGATCATAGCATTGAACATGAGGGTCATCTGATACGTATGTTATTTTGTAAAATCTCTTAAGTTTCTAGTATTCAAGTCCTGATACTTTGTAAAACGCCTGTGCCACATCCTTCTTGCCCCCTCCCACTTTCTATCTGAATGTTCTACCTCCGCAAGAAGAGGACATGTGTATTTTCTACGGAGTGCCAGCTATAGGTCAATAGGTGTTTTAACTGGTGAGTGGTTGGAGACAGTGGGAAAAGGAACAACGTTGAATTATTCGCAATGTTGGTTAACATGAAGACACAAGAATAACTCTGAGTTGGGTCCTGCGGGCAGCCCTTGCATTAGCAAACAGACCTTATAGCCCCCAGCAAGTGAGTGTGTCCAGAAGGGAACATTAGTTCACTGGCCAGTCTCTACTTACAAGAGTTGCCTACAGATAGGGCTTTTGTGCATTCTCACTAGGAAGATGCATGCAAAGTAATAACCCTGCAGTCATTCATTCAGTGTGACTACATGCCAGGAACTGTGGGTCTTGAATGGGGTGTGATCATGATCTTCATCTTCTAAGGAAACTATACTCAGAAGTTAAGAGACTTTCTCAAGGGCACACGGCTAGAAAATGACAGGACGGGCATTCAGGTCGTGGAGATGCTTGATACCTGCTTTAGTGGGAGACCACCCTTAGCTGTAATTTGCTATCTCAACTGACAGAACTGGACACAGGCCTGTTAAGACGGAACTGCCTGCTAAACTTGTTCTTTTCTATCCCTCTGCAGAACGACATGGGTTAAAAGAACCAAAGAGAGTGGAGGAGCTATGCAACAAGATCACAAGTAGCTTAAAAGACCACGAGAATAAGGGACAGGCTCTGGAGCCCACTGAACCCAAGGTCCTGCGTGCCCTGGCAGAACTGAGGAAGATCTGCACCCTGGGCCTCCAGCGCATCTTCTACTTAAAGCTGGAAGACTTGGTGTCCACACCTTCCATCATTGACAGGCTCTTCCTAGACACCCTGCCTTTCTGAGCAGGGGCCACCTCAGCTGGCAGCCATCTCATCTGCTAGCACCTGCTTACCAAGCAGTGAAGGGATGGATCTGGACACTGACCATTTCTGTCCTTCCTTAAGAGAAAAAGCAGCTCCTGTAGAAAACAAAGACTTTTTTTTTTTCTTTCTGGCACTTTTCCTTACAACCTAAAGCCAGAAAACTTGCAGAGTATTGTGTTGGGGTTGTGTTTTATATTTAGGCTTTGGGAAGAGGGTGGGGGGTATATAGTTCATGAGGGTTTTCTAAGAAACTGCTAACAAAGCACTTTTGGATGATGCTATCCCAGCAGGGGCAAAAAAAAAAAAAATAAGGATAATATTAACTGTTTTAAAACTATTTCTGGGGAATACAATTAGAGTTGCTTTGTATTTTCAAGAAAAGAACAGCCAAGGGTTGTTTACCAGGGTAGGATGTGTCTTAAGACTGGTCCGTTTAGAATATGTTTCCTGTATCAAGGGTACATGTGTGGTGCAAACAAGGCAGAATTTCTCTTTTCTTAATTGCTTTATTCCTTTAACAAATGGTGAAAATGGAGGATTCCCTATAAGGCAGACATAGACAAACAATAATGGCTGTTCACTTCCATATACAAGTGCAATTTTTTAAGTGCTGTCTTACTAAGTTTTGTTTAGTAACTCTCCTTTATTTTGTATGTAAATACAAAGGAGGCAGTCATGTTAGCAAATGACACATGCTAATTTTTCTAGCAGAGGCTTTGTCCACCTACCCTGTAGAACCCTTCTGAGGTATGGTCCATCTAAGACTTTTGGGCTAATCTTGATAGAACCAGATCCCTGGCCCTGACTGACCAGCTGTCCTGAAGGGGGCTCAGATGATAAAATGGATTGCACACAACTGTTTTGGTTGCATTCTATCAACCTCTCCAGAGTTCTCTTAACTCAGTGGAGTTAGAGAAACTGACACATTCATTCAGAAGCTGCAGGAGCCCTCGGTGAGCCAGCCAAGTATTTGATCCCTAGAAGAGAACATGCAAGTAAGTGGGAACTGGATCATACAGGGTAAACATCAGGGATTGTAAGGTTTTTATATATATATAAAATTTTAATTTTTGCTATCAGTTAAAGAGAAAAATTTTGGAGAGCAAGTAAGTCTTATTTAAACAAAAATAAAAATGAGTGAATGTGAGTACTAGAAAGGATTTAGTGGGCTGCATTTCAACATTCCGTGTTCGTACTCCCTTTTGTATGTTTATACTGTTAATGCCATATTATTATGAAATAATTTGTTGCATAGTGTCCTTATTTGTATAAACATTTGTATGCACGTTATATTGTAATAGCTTTGCCTGTATTTATTGCAAGACCACCAGCTCTCGAAAGCTGAGTTGCAAAGTACTTAAATGGGGTGTTCATAGTGACTTGGATACACCAAGTAGAAAAACAAACAAATATATATATATAAATATAGCAGGTTACATATATATATTTATAATGTGTCTTTTTATTAACCATTTGTACAATAAATGTCTCTACCCATGCAGTTATCTTATGGTTAATTTGCAGTGACTTTTAAGGCAGTACTGTTTAGCACTTTGATATTAAAATTTTGCTTATGTTTTGCTAAATTCGAATAATGTTTGAAGATTTTTAGGTCTAAAAATCTTTATATTATATACTCTGTATTAAGTCAAAATATCTTTGGTCATTTTGCTAAGAAACTTTGAATGTCATTCTGATGTCACAATAGTTTGGGTTAGCTTTAAATCATTTTGCTTTAGTCTTTTTAAAGGAAAACTAACAAAACTATGCTGTTTGTATTATCATTAAATTATACAATCAAACAAATGCCAAATGAATTGCCTAATTGCTGCAAAGGATGACCCAGATAGCAAACTATATATGTTTTTTTCTCAAGAGTCATTCTGATATTTGATCATGTATTATGTTTGTGTAAGCTTTTATGAAAGAATGTTATTTTTATATTAAGATAATAGGATTTGGAATGTTAGATTTGGAAGGGACCTGACTTGTCAACTCATCCAACTATTCAGATTCATAGAGGAGAAAACAGGCCCAGCAAAGGGTAAGGACTTACCCAAGGTCAAGGCTAGGAACTAATTTCCTTTCCAGTGATCTTTCTACTTAACTTTCTACTCAACTGCATTATAGGAAAACAGGCTTTTAAACATAGCTACAATATTTACATGATACTAAAAGATAACCACAAGTAAAGTAGCACTTTTGTATTAATTTTTTGAGCTTATATGCAAACATAATAAACATTATTAAATATCAGGAAAGCTAATATTTCATACAAGGGAGCTTCAAACCAAATTCAAATTGAATTTGAATAATTAGAAATATTATGCATACATAACCCTCTTATACACCATTAGTAGTTGGAAAGTTAATCTCTTTGGTTTTCTCATGTCTATAGAGAAAAGTGAAACAAAACAGCCAAGAGAAATGCTGTTACTTTATACTCCCATCAGATTTAAGAAGACTTTTTAGCTGTGGTATCTATTGGTTGGAAGGAATGAAGACATTTTATTTTAGTTATTCAGACTCTAGTGCTGAAAATAGACATTATAACCAATGTACTACCGGCTTCCATAGTTATTACAAGTATGGGAGTCTACCAAGTCATCTATCGGTTCAACTCTCTCTCCCTCTTTTTTTTTTTTTTTTTTGTCTTAATGTTGACACACAAGTTTATACAGAATGGTAACCACACTAGCTCAGTAAAGGACAACAAGAATTAAAGCAGACGATTCCTCCTCTTGCGGGGAGAGCTCTCTCAGTGTAAGCAAACCTTCTGCGGGAGGGAATCAGGAACCCACCAGCTGCTAATGGAGAATGCCTTGCTTTCATTTCAGACAGCAGAGATTTTTGAAGTTCTCTGTTCCTCTAACAGCATTGCTCTTTAGTGTGTGTTAACCCGTGGTTTGGAAGAAATGCTCTTGTACATTAACAATGTAAATTCAAATGATTAAATTAAATCACATTTTATCTATGGCTACTGATGTGTTGAATAAGCATGCTTTATTTAACAGTTTTAATCATGTATGAGATTGTATTTGCTGTGAACTCTTAAACACATCCCAAAATGATTTTTTTTTTTTCAAATAGGCTTAGTAATGCTGAAAAGTTAATAGGCGTTATGAAATGGAAATATATTAAACCTCACCGATTGGGAAGAAGAACATTCTAAATTCAGTAGCTATTTATTGAGTACTTCCTGTGGATAAAGCACGGCAGGGTGCTTTAAAGAGATACAATCATGTACAGTTCACAAACCTCATTTTTCTTTATATTTAGTGAAGATTCAGCAAACTATATTGCTTCAAAGTATTTGTTGAGGGTATAAGGACTCATTTTTATATCAAGATGATAGGAGAGTAATTGCTTGTGAACCACAATTTGTAAGAATTAGGGTTAGAGTTCTCAAAGATCAGTCAGTACTCTCTGGCAGTGTGTGTGAGCCATTACTACTACCTGGCCCAGAAAACTCATCTTAGTGGGTGTCACAAGTACGGCTGTTATTCAGTTTTATCCTAAACATCTATATCCTGAGGTTTCTCTTTTGTGTTGATGGCACAAAAGGAGAACTGACTACTACATTCACTCTTCATTAAGCAAGCATTTTCTGTGACTTCCAAGTACAGTGTGTGGTCTAAGAGCTCAACCTTTTGTCCTGCTTCTTAGCAGCACCTCCATTATCTCAACTATCTGATATGACTTGTAATAAATAGATGATACACACACATGCATGAGGATAAGTCAAAAATTATTCACATTCTGGCTGTAGAATTTATTCAACTTTGGGAAAAGACAAATACATCTCTCTTTTTTTCTACAATCTCCTTGCTTTTCAATACACTTTGTCCATCTGTCAACAAGCTTCCGTATTCCTTTATTTTAAAATGTTTGAGGCTGAGCTGCAAGCCACAAATGTACTGCTGTTTTCACTTCATCAGAGGTGAATCTTCGTCCTTGAAGGGCTGCTATCAGAGGACCAAACAGGTGAAAATCCCATGAAGCAAGATCAGGACTAGAGGGAGGATACTTAAGCACCTCAAAAGGAAGTTTTGTAGAATGTCAACAGTGTGGGCAGAGGTGTGAGGACGGGCATTGCCGGGCAAAATCACAAGTCCCTTGGATAGCAGTCCTCTGCTTTTATTCTGAAGTTTAGGCTTCAGTTCTTCAAAGAGCATCTCACTTTAATGAGCACTGTTGATTGTTGAACCTTTTGTCCTCATTGTGTTCCAATACTGGCCCTTGAGAATCCCAAAAAACTATAAAAATCAATTATCCAGCTGATGGTGGACTTTTGAACATTTTCTTGGTCAGCAACTGACGATGTTTCCACTCCATACTCTACTGTTTACTCTCAGACTCGTAGTGATGAGTCCATATCTTGTCACCAATAACAATTTTTTTTTTAAGGAACTTTTGCCTTCCTTGGAGTATTGGTCCATATTTTGTTTATATATGTCCACATTCAAACCTGCACAGCAGTGACCTTGAACAGAAAGCCAACAGTAAGTGGAGTGTGGATAATTTTTGACTCACCTTCATGTTTGTGTGTGTGTATAGTGGAACACTATCTTGTATATTAATTCAAATTCAGGTACTTGACCAAAAAAGAGAGAAAGAAAGAAAGAATGGGTCAAGCCCATTTTGAGGTCTGGCTTGAGTAGGAAAGAGGGGCAGGAGGCTCAGTTTTATAAGAGGGGGCTTCAAAAAGTTCATGTAAATATTGAATTAAAAGACAATGGGGTTTCACATCCAGATCTTCAGAGATGGGAAATTGCCACTTGAAAG